ACCAGCGTGTGCTGAGCCTGACTCTCTGCTCCCTGCCCCACCCAGCTCTGCAGCAGCAGCCCACACCTCTGCTCCACACAATGCCCCATCTCAGCCTACTTTTTACGCGGTTGTTTCCTATATACAGAAATACACTCAATTATTTTAAATCAGGGGGAAGAAACCTCAGCCACAAGTAGGAACACACCCAGCCACTCTGAAGAGGTCCCTTGGCTGACCTCATGTTTACCTCCTTAGACATCTCAGCTACCCATTTCCCTGGGGATTGATTTTTGGCCATTGTGCAATGTCTAGTGACATTAACACTGAACGTGGAATGTGAGCATTCGCTTTGTACATATGGTCTGCAGGATGTGTTTGTGTGTGTGTGTGTTTTAAAACAGGATTGCCCAGGCTGGAATGCAATGACACGATCATAACTCATCCGCAGCCTCGAGCTCCTGGCTTCAAGCAATCCTCACATCTCAGCCTCTACATTGCTGGGCTCACAGGCATGCGCCACCAGGCCCAGCCGCATGGTTTTCTTCTTCCCTTTTAAATAAGATATTGGTGTTCAGAACTGAGCCATCTCCCAGCCCCTTCAGACCATGGATTCTCCAGCCTGAAGCTATGCCACTGAGGTGAGGGCCAAAGGCTCAGCAGGACCCACTCAGCCCATACTGGCCCCACAGCAGGCAGCCCGGTCTCTGTTCCTGGCAGGGCTGTTGCCTCCTTCCTTTCCATGACCTGTAGAGCAGCCCTCCTGGCTAGCGCACACCCATGCAACTGTGCGTGTGCCCACGGCTTAAGACCACTTGGAAGAGCCTCTTCTGAGCCCAGGAGGAGCTCTGGAAGGTTCCCGTCCTATTGTGGCTGCACTGGCCCAGTATACTTTTGTCCCCAGATCCTGCCCACGGGCACTGGCACCCAAGTGGCCTCAGTGCCTTTTCTCCCAAAGCAGCTAGCCAGTCCAGGGAGATCGGAGGCGCCACTCACCTGTGGATGATGTCCAAATGGTGCAGGTATTCCAGCGCATCCAGCACCTGGCCCAGCACATTCTGCAACCACTGGGGAGAAGCAGGGGATGCCAGGATGGGAGGGGCGCCCTGTGCTGCTGTCAGGGGGGTGACACTCAGCAGCCAGCAGGATGGTGGTGTATTCTCTCCTTGCATCTTGAGACAGGCCTGAAGCCAGCCAAGCACTCAGGGTGGGTGGAGGAGGCTTCAGCGTGGTGACTCTCCAGACGATAAAGCCAGAAGGACTCAGTTTCCAGACTCCACACTGCTGTCTCCATGCCGGAGACCCTGGGTGCTGCAGGGGCCCCATCCCTGCACCCACTCTGTGGCCCACACTGCCCCACACTTGCTCGGAGCTGCAGGCAGATGGGCTTTGCGGGTATGGGAGGGGTTGAAGCCTGCAGTGCCTCCATGCAGCTCACTCCTCTAAGTCATTCTAATGAACAGAGCCGTGAGAGAGAATGTGCTAGGAGCGTTCTGCATCAGAAACAAGCTCCACTGAGTCCCCAGGGCAGTGATTCTGCAGCTGGGCTCCTAGGACCCCTGGATTCAGGCCCACCCTGGGGTGTCAGAGAGGGGCTGAGGGGGCAGGACATGGGCGTCCTCCTATTCCCCCCAGTTACAGTAGCTCTGCTGCACTTACTGGCTTTCTGGGAACACTGTGTGTTTCAAAGGGCTTCACTCACAAAGTCTGAAACCCACCCTGGGCCTGCCTCTGAGGCCCATGGTAAGAGAAGAGCTATGTGCCCCAAAGAGCCCCTCAGGGGGACCCGGTCCCACCAAACACAGTTCTCAGGGTAAAAGCAGGCAGCATTCATCTGGGGTAGATGAAAGACCTAAATGTGAAGGCAAAAATGACCACGCTTACAGAAGACAGAGGAGAGCATCTTCATGGCCTCAGAGCAGGAAATGCTTCATTTTTTTTTTTTTTTTTTTTTAAAGACGGGGTTTCACCACGTTGGTCAGGCTGGTCTTGAACTCCCGACCTCAGGTGATCCGCCCACCTTGGCCTCCAAAGTGCTTGGATTACAGGTGTGAGCCACTACGCCCGGCCTCATTTTTTTTTTTTGAGACAAAGTTTTGCTCTTGTTGCCCAGGCTGGAGTGTAATGGTGCAATCATGGCCCACTGCAATCTCCGCCTCCCAGGTTCAAGCGATTCTCCTGCCTCAGCCTCCTGAGTAGCTGAGATTAAAGGTGTGCACCACCATACCTGGCTAATTTTGTAGTTTTAGTAGACACAGGGTTTCTCCATATTGGTCAGGCTGGTCTAGAACTCCTGACCTCAGGTGATCTGCCCACCTCAGCCTCCCAAAGTGCTGGGATTACAAGCATGAGCACCTGGCCAGGAGATGCTTCTTAAACTCCAAAGGCACCAACCATAGAGACAGCAGGGAGGCAGCATAGAGACAGCATAGAGACAGCATTGAGATAGCATAGAGACAGCAGAGAGACAGCATAGAGACAGCATTGAGATAGCATAGAGACAGCATAGAGACAGCAGAGA